TAATGTGTCATTTAAAGTTGGTGTTTTCTGTGGACTTTCTGTCTAAATGCTCTTTCCATTGCTGTGAGCAAGGCATTCAGGTCTTTTACTGTAATTGTATTTTTGTCTGTTTCTTCTTGTAGATCTGTTAGTATTTGCTTTATATATTTTGGTGTTCCCAGTTTGGGTGCACATATATTGATAAGTATTTTTTCTTCTTGATGAGCTGTCTCCTCTATCATAAAATGTCCATCTTTGTCCCTTATTACCATTTTCATCTTGAAATCTACTTTGTTTGATAAGTACTGCTACACCTTCTTTTCTCTGGATACCATTTACTTGCAGTGTTATCTTCTTGTCTTTGGAGCAGAGATGAATCTCCTGCAGGCAACATATAGGTGGTTCTTGTTTTTTAATCCATCCTACTACTCTGTGCCTTTTGATTGGTAATTTGAGTTCATTTACATTTAGGGTGATCATTGCTATATTAGGACTTACTACAGCCATTTTATCTTTGTTTGATGATTGCTTTGTGTCTCCATTGTTTCTTTTCCCTTGTGTTTCTGTCTGCTATTTTAATTTGGTGGTTTTCTATGATTTTTTTCTCTGTTTCCCCTTTTATTATGTTTAATATCTCAGCTCTGGGTTTTTGTTTTGCGGTTACCATTAGGTTTGTGTAAAACATCTCATAGACACACTAGTCCTTTTACTTCTGATTTATCTTATCTTCATTCACCTGTACACGTTCAGTCCTTTTCCTCCTCCCATCTTATGCTTTTATTGTCACAAATATTTCTTTTTATGTTGTGCATTTATTATCAAATTGCAGCTTTAGTTATTTTAATGCCTTTTCCCCTTTAACCTTTATATTACAATTAGGTGTTTAATATCCTATTCTGAACTAGAGTTGCAATTACTGACTTCTGTCTGTCTGTTAGTCATCTTATTCAAAGTTTTGTATACTTCTTTTTGTTTGCGATAGAAGAGCTCCTTCAACATTTCTTATAATGCAGATCTTGTAGTGATAAATTCTCTCAGCTTTTGTTTCTCTGGGAAAGCCTTCATGTCTCCTTCATATCTAATGGATAAGTTTGCTGCATGTATTATTCTCGGCTGATGGTTCCTTCTTTCAATATTTTGAATATTTCCTTCCACTCTCTCAGCTTGTAATGTTTCTACTTAAAAATCTGATGATTACCTAATGGGGTTTCCTTTGTATGTTACAATCTATTTTCCCCTGGATGCCTTGAGAATTCTTTGTCATTAATTTTTGACAGTTTTAATAAACTGTGTCTTGGAGAAGTCCTTTTTGTATTGAGATTATTAGGTATTCTGTTAGCTTCTTGTATGCTAAAGTCCTGTTTTTTCCATAGGTTTGGGACACTCATCAATTATTTCTTTGAAGAGACTGCCTGTTTCTTTCTTCTCTTCTCCTTCTGGAATACACGTTATCCTTATCAGTTGCTCTTTCTAATGTATAATAGTCAGATAGTTCTCATAGAGTTCTTTCTTTCCTTTAACTCTTAGTTCTCACTTTCCTTCCTCCACGGTCACTTCTAGCTTTCTATCTTCACACTAATTCTCTTTTCTATCTGGTTTGCTCCATTTCCAGTGCTCTCTAATGCATTCATTTCATTTACTAAGTTCTTCAGCTCCAGAATATCTGCCTTGTTCTGTTTTGTAGTTTCATCTCTTTGGTAAAATACTCCTTTTGCTTATGAATTTTGTTCCTGAATTCATTTAATTACCTTTATGAATTTTCTTGAATATCATTGTGTTTCTTCATAACTACAATCTTAAATTCTCTGTCATTTAAATTGCAGTCTTCTGTGACTTTGGGTTTGGTTTCTGGAGACTTTTAATTTTCTATCTGTATTTCCATGTTACCTTGGCTTTTCATGGTACCTGATGGATTGGTTCTCTGCCTGAGCATTTGAGGTAGTGAACTCTCCTTGTTTATAATTGTTCTGCTCTTAACAAGTCAGCAAGTTGATAGGTAGGGTACTTCCTTTTGTTTTCCAGTAGATGGTGCTATAGCACAAGTTTTTATTTTTTTCTATCCAGTGCTATTGGTGCCTCTGGGATCATGATGAAGAGGCTTCAGTTCTGATAAGGAAAATGCCATATACCCACTGGTGTGGTCAGTGTCCCCTCTGTGACCAGCTTGTCTTGGTTACTGGGCATCACCTCCATAGTGGGGGAATATGGCACAGGTGGTAGAGAACTGGGTTTGCAAGCTCCCAGCATTGCCTCCTTGTTGCTAATGGCCAGCTGTGTTGCTGGACGTGTCCCCACTACCTCTATCCAGCTTTGTGGGGGTGGGCAGGGCAAGGAAGGTAAGTTCATGACTTCACAGCTCTGTTCTCCTGCCACCAATGGCTGCCGGCATCACTCTGCTGTTTTATAGAGTGTCACACCACCTCTACGGGGCTCTGTTGCAGTGGGGAGGAGGGGAGTTGCCTTTTCCCAGAGAAAAAATGCCTCGGACCCACTTATACTCTAGGCCATAGTGTGAGGGCTGCAGCCAGACTTCTCCTCCGCTACCGTGCTACCTGGTGCTGTGGTGGGCACCAAACTACATCTGCGGCCACTGTACCCGTCCTTCCCCCATCCCACCTCCCCCTACTCTTTCTGATAAGCTCTCCTTCAGATGGACCCATGCGTGGGTCTCTTGGGCATATTTATGTGTTGAGCAGGGAACCCTTTATTGTGTTATAGTTGTGCGACTTATAGATTCAAGGGGAGAAATAAAGCAGTCTTCTCACTTGGCCATGAGCTGCCGTCACTCCCTTATGATTTTCTTAATAACATTCTTTTCTCTAGCTTAATTTATTGTAAGATTAGAGTATATAATACATATACAAAATATGTGCTAATCAACTGTTTGTTATTGGTAAGGCTTCTGCTGGTCAATAGGCGGCTCTTAGTAGTTAAGTTTTGGGCAAGTCAAAAGTTATATACAGATTTTTGACTGCACAGGGATTGGTGACCATAACCCCTGCATTGTTCAGGGGTCAACTGTATTTCCAAACTAAATCATAAGCATGCTTCTCTCATCCCCATTAACTGCAGCAATGGTCAATGGACATGCAATTGGAGACTTCCAATTATTTTTATTTTGAAGCGGTAAAATTAAATACTTGCTTATTTTTAAAAAGGAGAATTGGAAACAAATATCATTCCTGCCTTTACAACGTGAATCCAAATGCTTTTCTAAACAATTACTGGAAAATGAACATGAATAGATATAATCCTTGCCCTTTCAAGAGCTTCCAGCCTGGTAGAAATGGACAAGTAAACAATGTGAAAGGAATTCATCACTGACTATTGATAAGCACAACTTATGATGGGAGCACAAAGAACAGGCACCTAACCTGGTTAGGAAGGTCTGCAATGACTTGCTAAGGGAACTAACTGATGCAAAGGCGGGCAAGTCGGATCAGCCAAAAAGCCTTCCTGGTACCCACCCAGGGCCAGGTGGAGATGTCATTCCTTGGTCCCCAGGAGCCTGTCAAACTGATAGCACACTGACCTTTATTGGTTTACGTGTTCACCTTTCCCGCAAACTGGTAAGTTTAAGGCAGACACTGTGCTATTTGTCATTGTTATCTACAGTGCCTACCAAGTAGTAGCTGATGCATAAGACCCATCTGACAAGTGAATGTGTGGAAGTTTCTAGGATGATGAAAATACTCTTTCTCTAAGATGGACTAATGTTTAAAGAAAATGTTTTATGTCTGTATCATGATATATTAAAATTATGTACTAGTGTTTGCAATGCCAATACCAAATAGTAGATGCAAGAATAGGGTCCGGAACCATAAGGAGATGCAAAGATAAACAAGACACAAGCACTGCTCTCCATGAATTACAGCCTAAACTGGAGGTCTCTTAATCCCTACATATATTCATATATATGACTCAGAATATGACTTTCATTTGCTTGCTCTGGAATTCCACAAAATATTTCTTTTAAAGGCTCCATTTCTTTAAAAAAATAAAAAAGGAAAAACCTTGATCAAGTTAATAGCAAGGCTGTTATTGTCAAAATAGTTACATATTTTCCTCCTTTATTTTAGGACAGGAAGGTAATTTAAATGGAGGGAATTAGGAATTTACATTTTTAGAGATCCTCCTGGATTTCATCTTAGTTTTTCCTCACTAGCCTTCTTTAGCATCTTTCATATATATATGAAACTCATATATATATATATATATATATGAAACTCATATATATATATATGAATGTATATATACATGTACAATAATAGCAATGTACAGATGTTTACAATAAAATTGTTCATTCTTGGGCCGGCCGAGTGGCGCGATGGTTAAGAACTGGCTTGGGACGCCAGAGGGCCCCGGTTTGGATCCCACATATGAGGGCCAGTGACACTGCCCTCCACAGCTAAGATGCTAAACAACAGCTCAGCCTGGAGCTGGGCTGCCCGTGAGTTGCCGGCGACGGCGTAGGCTGCAGCCCCTGTGGCAGTGGGTTGCCATGGGCTACCGTGTGTAGCCAGCAGCCAGCGTGAGCGGCCAGCAGCCGCAGTGAGCGGCCGTCCAGAAGCCGGCGACTGATCTGCCTCGCCCGGGAAGAGCGCAATGATGGTGCCAACTTGGGCCAGTGAAGCAACATCCTCCACAACTAGCCTGAAGAACAAAAGGACAGCAACTTGTCTGTTCCCCTTCCCCCAATTCCCCAGAACTGTTCCCATCCTCCCAATTCCCCAATAAAAATCTTTAAAAAAAAATTGTTCATTCTTTCCTGTACACTGCAGTATTATTTAATGCTTCTACACAGATTCTCTGTAAAATTACAGCTAAGTATACTAAATATTCTACATTTAATGCCAGTTATCTCAAGATGTTTAATTTAAAACCATTACCTAATTTCTCTATAGCATGTTGAACTTTAAAAACATTCTGTTTTCAAAATGAGATGGTTTAAGGTCATCCTAAGGATCCATATGCAATGAATCCTGCTATGATGTTTACAGGGAAAAATGAACCCAGAGACATATAGGTACAGTATTCTTTATTATAAACAATCAGATAAATGTACACTTGATGGATAGTTGAAGCCTAGATATTATAATCAAAAGCATTTCTTAAATAGAAGTAGTTTCTTTGTTTTTTGCTTTGTTTTACATTAATTTGAGCTTAACATATGCCAGATCACCTAATCTCATCACACAGTTCAGCTGTTAAATCATAACACGAAAAGACAAAATTTGGAATGCATGTTATAGTTTGCTTTATTTAATGGAGATACACACTAAATATTCAGGACAAATTAAAGTTAAGCAGGCGCTTAAAGTCAGGCAAGTGATATTTATAAAATGCTTGTGTTGTTGTGATGGGGTATTCAGTTCTTTGGGAGACAATGAAAAGAGGATTCTAAATGCTAGATTGTAACCCAACGTTCCCTGATTTGTACTGAGTATAAAAAAACAAACCAAAAAAACCCATAAAGTAAATGTGTTGAACAATGACATCTTTGTAGTTTCAAAGCACTGGCTGATACTAAAATATCATTTAACTAAAACTTTCAAGAAAAATTAAAAACAGGCTTGAACAACAGGATAAATGACCTAGACCTCGTGAGGAGGCCAAAACATTATTATTCTCTATTGCACAACCCTTGTCCATGGCAACCTTGAACATGTTTGGCATTGCTGATGTAGTTAATGGCTCAGCATGTCCATTTTGCTAGTTATCCTACAAAAGAATGCTATTACATTTCTTTTTGGATTGTCTACATCAAGGAATGAATGTGAATGAGCACATTTAGAAGTCTAAAATCAAATACTGCACAACTTTTGACAACTCTTGCCAGCAAAAGTGAAAAAAAAAAAGGCTGATTAAAATGTGACTATATTACAATGGCCGAAGGGTTACCTTTTCATCAATTTCAAATTCTCTGAATTTCATACATATCCTAATAATAAAGGCTTTTGATGAGACATGATTGATGATGATGCATATGTACCATTTTAATCATTTATTTTTCAAAAAAAGAATTCAGGTCTACAGGAATATTTTGTCCTGGTTTCGCAAAGCTCTATGAAAATCCAATTTTTTAAATGTCATTTATAAACAACCAGTTCTGATTAATTCTGTAAAGGTGTCAGATTACCAGAGGATAATTTTGATCAAGAAATCTGTGTTTGATCTCTGGAACAGAAACTATACTATGTGTCCTTGTTCTCTCATGGAATGATACTCGTACGAGGAAGACTCGCCATATTAATGCTTCTTCCAAGAAAAGAGGAGATGGAGAATTATTGGCAAATAGAAGCAAGGGGAGAAAGAAAAGCAACTTTGAGACAACACAGATGAAAAGTAGCATTTATCCAAGGAAGCCTTCACCCATTGCCCAATTGCTCAAAAGAGAAGGAAAATAAGTTTCAAGATACAGATAGTTAAGAAGTGAATTATATATTTTTCAAGCTAAGGAAAAATAACATTTTGTTTTGTTTTACAAGTTCTGAAACATGAAGATGTGTACACAAACAGATTTACTCTAAGACTCTCAGTGCCAGAGGGCTGGGGCCGTCTCTTGTTTACAATGGATTCCACAGTACCTATCACTGTACCTGGCACATATACGTGCACAATACATAGTTGATGAACCAGTAAACTACAGGGTTTTTAGTTTTCATGTAAAATGTAATAATTATTTTCTGTTGTACATATGAATGTTTCTATTAGATAACACTAGTTATTACAACATGTGACAGTAGTAGCTCACTCATATATCTTTTTCACATGATCATTTCTACCTTAATACAATTTAATGAGAAACAACTACTGTGTGCACTAATGCTAAAAGAGTTGAGACAGAATGTGTAAATGAAGAAACTTCTTGAATTACTGAAGTACCTTCTGTCTGTTACAAGCATAATTACCTTCTTAAATTATACACTTTTAAGAGGGTGTGAAATATTTTTTCAAGCAATGCAGTGTTTAGTGGGTGGGAATTATAAATATATATACATATATGAAATTACCTAGAAATTTAGGGGATTGTCCTCTCTTTATCATCCAAGGGTAAAGAAGAACAGGTTTTTAATATTGTGTATTTTTAAATGTTCTATTATTCAGTACCACTGTTCCCCAGAAATTACAGAGATTATGAAATTAGTATCACCTTACTTGGGAAGTTATTTCCAGGTATGAGACTTTAGCTTTATAAAAGGCTACGAGATTTGACCAGTAGATAATTTATTCAATATAGACACTAAGTTAAATAACTCATCAATTTGACCCCAACAGTGTGTGTTTTCTCAAAAGTCTTCACCATTGTTTTAGTCACCTGTAAATCGTTACTATTTGCCAACAAGTGAGGAAAACGTGGCAAAAGGAGGGCCCTTACCTGGAGACGTTTCATGTGGGAATGTGAGAAGGCCTAAGTAAGCGTATGATGCTTTTGTCTAACCCTCTGATTTTACCTGCGTTTTCCCCACACGGGACCTACACACGTGGGCTCAGAGCTCACTGTGGGGACTCAGCAGTCTGCAGGACTGCCCACAGAAGGAACCAGGAAAACTGGCCTGGTTTCCCATGAGGGAAGCAGAGGAGTCCCTGGGTGATTCCTGGACTAAGTTCTGGTCTTATCTTGCAATTTGGGAATACAGCTCATTTCATGCTATTTTCATATTTATCTTGCCACGTTAGACTCGTGACTTTTTTTACAATGGTAGGTAGGAGGCAATATGACTTCAGCTTCACAGTTTCTTTCTTTACCAATCACAGTTTAAATGTGTTTTAAAGGTACCATTAATATCAGCACAATAGTCCAGCTGGTTATTTCAACTTCAGAAAGAAAAGAAAGTTTATGTGGCTTATCTTACAAAATTGATTGTATAAGCTTGATTTTTTTTTCTTGCCAATAGCACTAAAAGTGAGATCATTTAAATTATAAGGGTTTGATTGCTTTATTTTATCTAAAAGTGTTATTTGCTCCAGTGCTACTAGTACCTGATTTTTGCTATATAAACAGTTTTAATATTTTTCTGGTTCGCCACCCAATGTGCCTTATAATGACATGGCTGACTAACGCTGCCTTTCATTCATTCTGCTGACACCCTTCAAATACTGTTAACACAGTTGGCTTTCGCATTTCCTCCATCAAAAGAAGCAACTGCTTCTTACACCACAGGCACGACAAACCTGCTTTTCTAATTGAATTGTACTGAACATCAGGTTAACTGGAAAGCACAAAACATATGGTGATAAAATAGATGAATAGTATATATTATATGTATTTACACATGTACTTAGACACTTCAGCTAGTTGCAAATCTGAAATGACACAAGCCACTGCCTGCAATAGCATCTATCCTATAGAATGGGGATTGAGACGTGACTATTAAGACACTGAAGAAATCGGGTTGTGTGGAGAGCCCATCTGAGTCAGAACTTTGTCCAACCACTGCAGTGGCCCGTGAAGATGAATCTCAATCCAGCAGGGGGTGCTCGTGACATCCTGGCGGTGATACTCGGCTCCCCAACCCTGAAAAGCAAGAGTGGAGCCAAGAGTGATTGTGCCAGACTTTACAGCCAGCTGCCAGAGATGCGAGACACAGCTCAGCGGACACAGCCCACGTGCTAGTGCAGCTCTGAGACTCCTGAGAGAGCATGAACACCACCTTCCTGTAAGTACAGGGCATCTTTTGTATCAACCTGACCTCCTAAGAGGCCTTCCCTCCTGGTTCACAACTAAATTCGTGGATCCAGAGATGGTCTGGGCTTCAGTCATATCAGAAACACTGGCAAATCATATTCCCTTCCACAAGGAAAGAAACTGACCTTACATTCAGCCCCTTTGATGCTGAAGACAGTGTTTTGCACAAAATGGTTACTACAGACCACTGATGGATCTGCAAACTGTAAAAAGAGAACTGGAGGGTGGTCTTGATTATTCAGGGTTGACTAACAAAGCTTGTTTCTCCGGTCTCGCTTTTGGCAATTTCCCACTTATTACCATTCATAGGAAAGACAGTAAACAAACAAACAAATGTGCATTTTCCTCTATGTTATACATCAATGAAAAATTATTTTTAAAGTGAAGCTAGATCCAGTCAAATAAATTGGTTTTGTTATTGGGAACACTGATTCTCTGTAGAGTTGTTTAAAATTTGATTTCAAATACCATGCTGCCTGATCGCACTTTACATTCATGACCAGGAACCTTTGATGCCACCTGGAAAGTGTACCTTACCTCCCAAGTCCCTTTGCTCTCCCATTCCCCCCACCCTCACACCCCAAATGACTACCTCGCCTACTCCCCCAGCCTGCTCACAACAGATGATCTTCTTTCCCATTTCAATGAGAGAAATGAGGTAATCACAGGAGCATTTGCCCAGCACCTGCCCCACAGACTTGGACTTTCCATCTCTTACCATAGACTATCTGTGTTTCCAAATAAGCCAGTCCATCCTGACTTGTGCACAAGACTCACTCCCCCCCCACCCTGGGGAAAATTGCCCTGTTCTCTCAGATGATCTTTTGCGTTCTACTGGATCATTCCCATCAACATAAAAACATGCTGAAATATCTCCCATCTTCAAAACACTTCTCGTGGCCCTACCACCCCCACAGATTACTGCCCTGTGCCTTTGACTCCCTTTCTAGCAAACACCCTCAAAAAGAGTCATCCGCACTGGCTGTCTCCACTCCTCTCCTTCCATTCTCTCTTAAATCCATTCTGGTCAGCATTTCACCCCAGTTATCAACAAAATTGTTCCTGTCAGGATCAAAAAGACCTTTATGTTACTAAAATTAATGACCAACTGTCAGTCTTGATATCACTTGGGCATTACTTGGTTTCCTTCATTCTCTCTCGTCCTCAATGTGCTTTCTTCTTTGGCTTACACAGGACCTTCCTTTCTTGGTTTTACTACTACTTCACTGGTTGCATTTTCTCAGTTTTCTTTGCTAGTTCCTTCTCATCTCCACCATCTGTTTAGGGCTCCATCCGAGAATCTCTTATCATCTGTGTTTAAACTCAAACTGTTGGTGATCTCACTCAGGCTCCTAAAGTTCAATACTGTTCGTATGCTGACAATTCCTAAATTTACATCTCCACCTAGCCCTCTCTCCCTAAATCCAGACTTATACATCTAACTGCCTACTCAGCATGTCCACTTGCATGTGTGACAGACATCTCAAGGTTATTCTCACTAAAACTGAACTCTTAATCTGGTATCCAAACCTGATCCACCTGCATCTTCTCCATATTGGCTGAAGGCAAATTCATCTAACTCCTCTCTTTCCTCATACCCCGCATCAAATCCACCTTCACAATCCAGAGCGCTTCCCATTCTCAGCTTCTACTGGAACTCTCCTAGTAGGAAAGCCATCATTTCTCATCTGAACACTGCAATAGCTTCCCCACTGCTCTCTCTACTTCCAACCTTCCGTGCATAATATCTGTTCTCCACATAGCAGCCAGAGGGATCCTTTAAAATCCTAAGTCAGATCATGAAAATCCTCTGCTCAAGTCTCTGCAACGGCTCCCCTTCTCTTTAGAGTAAAAGCCAAAACCCTCGCAGCGGCTGACAAAGCACTGACCTGGTTCCCTGCTACTGTTCTGATCTCACCCCCTCCCTCATCATGTGCCAGTCACAGAGGCTTCCATGCTGTTACAAATTCCCAGGCACGCTCTGGCCTCTTGCTGTAGGGCTTGCCCTTCCCTGTGCACCTACTGCTCTCCCCTCAGATATCTCTCTGACTACCGCCACCATCTCCTGCTGATGTGTCACCTTTTCAATGAGACCACCACTGCCCACTTTTCAAAACCTGCAATCTGCTCCTATCCAGCACTCCACTTCCCTCTACCCTGCTCTAAGTTTCCTGTTTCCATTCAGCTTCTCTATTATAACTGTTGTTTATTGTCTCTCTCCCTCCTAGAATACAGATTCCATGAAGGCAGAGATCTTTAAGTAACCACTGAAGTATTCCAATGCCTAGAGTGGCACCTGGCCTGGTACATGGTAGGTGCTCAATAAATCTTTGTTGACTGACTGAATGAGTCCTAGAATTAGTAAAAATTAGAGCTGAAAGAGACCTTAAAGATGAATGAGTCCATCAACCCCCAGTAGCAGCCACCAGTGTTTAGTCATCTATAA